AAAAAGATTAGAGATCTTATGCCTTCCCTTTCAGGGGGTCAGGTAGGGCTTTGTGTTTGTTAGTGGGAGGAGGAGAGAAATCTAAATAGGTCAAGTTCTAGTTCTTTTCAGCTGATTGTCGCATAGCTCTCAGATATGCCCTTTGATTTTTCATGGGTAGTTTGAACACATTTTGTCTGAAGCTTTTCAGCTACACTTGATGAGCTTATTGTGGGCTTTGTTTTACCCCTTGTCTTTAGCGTCAAACATGACCTTTTGGTGAGGAACTCCTGGAGAATTTCTGTTCTAGCCTTTCTCCTAACAACTGATATGTTGTGATGTTGTGAACTGGATGGGCACCTGGTAAATATTTGGCCTCCCTTTTGCTTTTGTTGTTAGGGAGTCCAAAGCCAAATTGGCATCCTGTTCTGTGTGAGGCCTTATGCAAGTGCCTTTTCCTTATTTTACTATTCTATTTATTTTCTTCTCCTTGCTCAAATTTCTTATCCTGTTTTGAAAATCATTTCTTTGCAAGGGCAGTGATGCTCCTGGTTCAAAAGGATTCCCACGAAGTGTCGAGGTGTCTCAAAGCTCCCCTTCCACTGATCCCTACAATGAGTTTTCATGAATTAGAAAAAAAGTGGCCGTTCATCCAGGAAGGCAGCCTGAATGCAGGACTCTTGCATTTGTAATTCTCTCCACACGCCCTGGAAGGACCAACCCTGAAGGGTTCTTGCCTAGTGTAATCACCTCCATTCCAGCAATTTCTTACTTGTCTGTTTTATACATTGACCTTCTGCAAAATATTTTATTTGAAAAAAATGTATTCATTCATTCATTCATTCATTTTTTTTTTTTAGTCACAGAATTAGTTTTAGTATGGTTTAGGATGGTTTTGAGCTAGGAACACAAAAGTAAACAAGACTGCTTTAAGGACTCTGCTCTCATAAAGGTTCCATTCTAGAATGGGAGCCAATCTATAAACTAATAAAGAAATAGGATAACTACACACTGGTTCTAATCCTAGCAAGGAATTATCAAGATACTGCAACAGAAAATAAAATGAGACTCATATTGTGGAGATGGAGGAAGCCTTTGTGAAGAGGCAATAAAAAAGCAAAGCCTGAAGGATGAAGAGGAGTCACCTACCAAGGAAGGAGGAAGATATTTTTGAGCAGGACTGGCTGCAAGTGCAAAGGTCCTTTGGCTAGAAAGTTCGAGAGGTTCAAGGAAAAGAGTTCTGATGATAGTGGAAAAGCAGAAGAATGAGGAACTGAGCATGGCCTGAAATGTGATCTGAAAAATCCAGGTTATCTAGGTTCTTTTAGGCCACCACTAAGGATTTGAGATTGTAACTTAAATATTATGGGAATCCATTTGTTTATGATTTGAAGGAATTGACTGAAATTTCAAAGTGTCAATATGGCTGTTGTGGGAAGAAAGATTAGAAGTGGAAAGATTAATCCCTAAGAGAGATGATGATTGTTTAGACCAAGGTCCTGCTGGTAGAGGTGGAGTAAAGTGAAAATATGTGGAAAGTGCTATGAAGTAGACTTAATAATGGAGGGGAGAGGCAGGGATGAGGAAAAGTCAAAGTTGATTCAGTTTCACTAGCAAGTATGCTAGTGACATTTATTGCACTAAAGAAGTCTTGTGATGGAGAGGCTTGGAAAGGGTAGGAAATAAATAACTCAAACATGAATATGTTAACTTTGAGATAAACAAGTGGAAACATCCAGGAGAGCATTAAATATCTGAGTTGGAACTCAGAGTGGATTGAATTGGCCTTTTAAATTTGGGAGTCATCAATAAATAAATGAAATTGAAACCATGAGACTCAATGAGATCTAGGAACATAGTGGAAATGACAATTTCCAGAACCAAGTTCTGGGGCACATGTACAGGTTGGGTGCACAAGGGAAAGGAAGGAAATGTTCAGGGAATGGAACACAACCAGAATTTCAAGAGTGGAGAGTATTTCAAGAAAAATAGCCAGGTGCTCAGAGATCAAATCACATGTGTGCATTGCATTTGGCAGCATGGTAAAGTAGCCAGAGAAGTTTTAGAGGATAATAGAAATTAAAACCAAATTAAGTCAGTCATAGTCTGCAAAAGAGGTTCAGAGACAATGGATATTGACAGTTCAAGGTACTATGCTTTGAAGGGAATCAAAGACATGGAATAGTTAAATGAGAACGGAACATACTTATGTGCTGATGGGTATGATGTAATGAAAAAACAAAACCTAATATGTATTAGGTGGAGATAAAAAAAGTTCTGAAGTCCTTGTGTGGCTTGAATAGGACTGGATCCAGAGCAGAAATGAGGGAGATGACCTTTGGTAGGAGAAACCACATAGTGTTAGGAAGGAAGAAGCCAAGGGGTGTCCATTTGGTGGCGTCTTCTGACTCCATGAAGTACTGTAATTGGCTGGAACTGACCAAGTTTTTTTAAAAAGCAGTGAAACAGTCTCCTCAAAGAGTGGATTACCAATTAAGAAAGACATGTACCATTGAAAGTAGTGGTTGAGTATCTATTTGAGGTAGATTGTCCTGAATTTAAACTAAAGCAACACAATTCAATTTATCCAGTTCAGTGATACAATATGAACAGGATGGGAACCATGTTTATTGGTCAATAAGACATAAAATGAGATGGAAGTTGAGAGCATCTGAGAATGAGTGATTATAATATCGGGGTTATGGCGATAAAGTTAGAAAAGATGAAAGGAAAAGGAGGAAGAGTCTAATGGATGTGAGAAATTATCAGGAAGAATGAACAGAAAGTTGCAAAGAAGTCAAATACTCAGTGCATGCATGAGCATGTGCATGCACGGATACACACACACACACACAGAATAGTAATAGTAGTAGTGGTAATAATAGTAATAATAATAATAAAAGAGAGAAGGGAGAAGAAAGGAAAAGAAAGAAAAGAGGTAGAGGAAGATGTAAAAGGAGCAGAAGAAGAAGTCAAATAAATATAAAAGAAAATGAAGAACTCCAGAGCTAGGGCCTACATGACCAGATCAAAAGGTTCAAAAACGATGTTAGAAATCAACATTTCCAGGTGAACACAATAAGTTCTGGCACCCAGAGGGAAAGGAAGAAAAAAATCATTGTACTTGAGATCAAGGAACTGAAAGTTCAGCCTCCCCCCCGAAAAAAAGCTGAAAAAAAAAATTCTTATTTGTTATATATATATTCCATGGATTGTTTCAAATCCTTATTTGGGATTAGGTGACAGGTTGCTCATAAAAAATAATGGCAGCTGATTCATTGTGGGTCTGTTCTGTGAACACCATTCACCTTAGGCTGTACTTTTGAACATTCTGCACTGAAATTCCTCATTACCATAAGAATGTTGCTTGGGAAATATTCTAAAATGTATTAATTCTCATATATCAATTAGTTGATAATTCTCATTTATTAGTAATAATATGACTCCCATGGCCTTTTTGGTAATGTCTAATGCATTTTGTGTGGTATAGAAGACCCTTCCAATGATCTTGCTCTTATTTGTGTGTCCTTCATTATTTGTGTGTCCTGAGGTATCCTAGCCAGACTGCTCAAAAGTGCCTAACCAGTGTCAGGTCAAGACTGTGTATCTGCAAATCCTGTGCTCTTTGCCTGGCAGAGATATGCATCTAAAGAATTGAGTTCTGGGTTGAGATTTTTAAAACAGGTTGAACTGTCCAAAAGTACCATTTTGAGGGCCAAAAATGTCACATATTAACATTTCATATTTGTAGTAATTTGCTACCCTTGTTGCAGATTTAAACCATACACTATTGATGAGAGCTACCACTTACTGAATTGGAACTTGGATATATAGATAGATAGATAGATAGATAGATAGATAGATAGATAGATAGATTCCTTGTCTCATTTAATTCCCGTGACAAATCCAAAAGGTGAGAAGGGAAGTGTAAATACTTCTATTCATTAGACAAGGATTCTGAGACTTAGAAAGGGTTCATCTAGGAGAAGCTAAATAAAAAAATGGCAGAACTGGGTTTTGATTCTGAAGGCAGAGGTCATACCATCCCCTTGCCTTTGTTTTATTCATTGCTAGAAGACTGGTATCTTGACATTGGATTTACTTTGATGAATGTTGCTATTTCCTTGGAATTTAGAGAGATAAATTTCATGGTTGAAATGAAGAGTCTGAAGATCCTTAGAGTCTTAAGCTTGTAAGTGCTATTTATTTGTTTTTAAATCACTGTCTTGATCCATGTTTGCCAGACAGGTTCCTAATTGTTATTACTGAAGTTATCTAGGAGACCGGTTCCTAAGTTCATGAGAAGAGCACGCAGATTTACTGAAGCACTGGTGCCAAGTCTTAGTGTAACGGAGGGCTCATGTGCTGAACCTACTTTTTCTCTCATTCACATAAAATTTTCCTGGAATTCCTAAACATAGTAGTGCTCTTTTTCTAATGAGAAGAAATCCATTGGCAAATACAGCACAATTGTGTTGATGTCCTGAGGTTGGCTGATATCCTTTTGCAATTAAAATTTTGATTCTGCAGTTTTCACTGAGTTTCTGGTATTAAAGTCCACAGTGCTGGTTTCAGGCTTCATCAGATTGACCTGGAGGGCCTGTGAGAACATATTGCTACCATATTGCTACTAATTTTTCATATTTGTTACATACAGGGCAGAATTTCTCTTGCATGGGCCAGGTCAGGAGGCTGAACTGGGAAGTCCTTCCTCCTAGGAATGCTTCTTCCAAGACCTTAGGGAAACTTTCTTCTGTATGACTGTTAGAACATCAGTATTGTTTCTTTGTATATTTGTTCTAGAGGAAGATCCCATATTAAATTGACCTGTCTTTCATTGAAAAAAAATACAAAGAGTTTTCAAAATGAAACATTCCATAATATCATAAGAAATGTTATTAAAATCTGGATGCAAAGGTGTGATTTCTCATTTTTCTTTGTTTAGACGTTCAGAGATATTTGAATTTTTATTGGATTCAAAATGTGTGAGTCATGAACAACAACACGTTTCTTTTTAACAGGAATCCTACGTGTTTGAACCCAATTGCCTCTTCAAAGTGGATGAGTTCGGCTTCTTTCTGACCTGGAAAAGTGAAGGCAAGGTACGGCACAGAGCAGTGAGCTGTCTTTTGGTTTAAGCCATTTCATTTCTCAAGAGATAGACCAAGGGCCTCTCAAGGGCATTGAACCCCTCACTTTTCATTCATTCAGAATTTTTCAAATCTGCTTTCATGTGCCCTGCACTGGAGATAGAAGGGATTCAAGGACATTGTTCTACTCCTCATAGCTTCTAGTATAGGAGCAAAGTTGGGCATTTAAAAAAGGTAGCTACAAGTCATCAAGTGTTGTGAAAGAGAAATGTAGATTGTTAGATAAGTCTACAACAGGCAGATATGATTTAATCTCAGGAGTTAGGAAGATTTCCCAGTAAAAGATATTCAAGCTGAAATGTAAAAGGGATATTAAAATGGTGTTTATTTCCTTATACTCTGGGACTTAATTAATGCATAGGATAATATATGCATTTAATGAACATTTGAGAGTAATTTAAGAAAAGTAAAATTGAAGTTATATATGTTAGCATTATTTTCACTTAGTAGCTTATATGTTATATTTAATCATATACAGACATTGTTATTAACATTATTGTATATAAAAGTAACAGTATTCTATAAACATTTTATAAATAATTACCCAGAGTTACATTTTTATAAATATTTGAAATACTGATAAGTTTAGAGTCTTAATTATTTCTGCTCATTTGAAATAATTATTGTTGGTCTTTGGTTTTTACTCCCTCTTTTACCTAATGCTAATCATTGTTTCCTTCATCATCAGAAATGTTTGCCAAGTGTTTTGTGCTATAGGTCTGGCAGAATTTAAACTCACCACTGTATGTTCTCTCTCTCAGGAAGGACAAGTGTTAGAATGTTCTCTCATCAACAGTATTCGGCTGGGAGCCATTCCTAAGGTACCTGTGATGGGTGTTTGTTGTCCTTCTAAACACACGTTTACATAGATTGGAAATGCTGCCCAGTATATTGTTTAATCTGTTTCTGCCCTAAAGTCATCAGCTGGGAATTAAGAATAGACACAGTGTAGAAATGTTCTCCTTCACAGCTGTTGGGTGATTTAGACTGTATTGTCCTTAGTTATATTCGAAGTTGGGATTGCAAAGAGCCTTGCATAAAACCAAAGAAACAGTTCCTTCTACTTGGAAATTAATTGTATAAGCTCGCTTCTTTTTAGCACACAGCGGTTCACTTTTCATCTGTGGTCGAAGGGGACATTTATGTGGCTCAGGTACTTCCCTGTTTGTGCACCTGTGCACGCAGACATTGACTCACCTGGAGGGGAAAAACCAAAACAAACACAGCACATAAATCAGTCTTCTACACAGTGATTGATTTGTTTGAACAAGGAGCTATTTGCATAGTTGTGCTAGGAATTTCAAAGATGTTTCTTCAGAGAATATTCTAGCACAGAATTTATTTCCTTTTCCATAATACCCCTGCAGGTTTTTAGCCATTCAAAACAAAGTTACATTCCTCACTTTGTTGTTTTGTTTTGTTTTGGTTTTTAAGCTGTCCTCTTTTATGTCAGGTAAATTTTTTGTGTATCTATATGTTGGCGTTTCCTCCTGAGTTCTTTTGGAGAACAAAGGCACAATTTTTCTTATGAATTAAGGTAAACTTTCACAGCTTTCATTCCAATTGAGGATGCCATGCACTTGTGGAGATGAAAATATTCACTCTTTGTATGCAGGCTATTTGAGTGATTAGTCTCGTTTTTTTTTTAGAATAACCTGAGGTAGCTGGCTGTGGCAGTGCCATGTCTGTTCATGGGAAACCTCTGTGACTGTCCTCTGGTGAGAGGCTCCATGGCTCTTTGTGGACACAAGCACATCCCAAGCATAGTCCTTCCCATCCCATCTCCCAATTCAGGGGCCTGCAGTAATGACAAACAAAAATCTAAATGAAGACCCCCACACCCAGTTTTCTAAATCAGAAATTTTATAGTTCTTCTCATTTATTTATGTGCTTATTTAATTTTTTGATGGTACTGAGAATTGAAACCAAAGCTTTCACATTGAGCTTTTTTATTTTTTATTTTTTTAGGTGAGACCGAGCATTTTAGATGGGGGAGAAAAAAACCTTTTCCCTTATGTATATTTTTTACATCAAAAGTAGGTTTCTTTTACTGTACTCCCCTCCATGTTTTGGGAACTGACATATTTTTTATCCTATTTGTCTACTTCTTTATAGGATCCCAAAATCCTGGCTGCTCTGGAAGCTGTTGGAAGATCTGAAAATGATCTGGAAGGGCGGATAGTCTGTGTCTGCAGTGGTACAGATCTGGTGAACATCAGCTTCACTTACATGGTGGCAGAAAATCCAGAAGTCACTAAGGTAGCCTCAAAGCAGCCTCCTCCCATCCATATGTGTGTGTGTGACTTTTTTTTTGTTTAGTGTAATTTTAATATATATTTTAAAATTGTGAATCACTTAAAAGTTTTTAAAGTTTTCATTGCTTTGCTGGCACAGTCATGTAGAAAATCCAGCAGGCACAATACCCTTTTAGCATGTCAGCCATGTAGACCAGCAACCTAACACACCTGCTGTGATGTGTGGCAGGAAAACCTGGCCTGGACTTCTCACTTGAATGTGCATCAGGACTCCCTGAGCCTTTGTTAAGATATAGATTCTGATTATATAATTCAGAAAGGGAGGTGAAAGTCTCCTTTTCTGACTAGCTCCTAGCCAATATCAGTACTACTGGCCTGGGAACTATGCTTTGAGTAGCAAGTCTGGGCCTGTACTGCCCAGTCATCATAGGATGAGCTACATCACTCCAGAAAGAATGGCTGCTATCATGAAATCAACCAATAACAAATGCTGGCGGGGCTGTGGGGAAAGAGGAACCCTGCTCCACTGCTGGTGGGAGTGTAGACTGGTGCAACCACTGTGGAAACATGTATAACATTTTCTAGTAGCCACATTTTAGAAGTAAAAAAGAAAGCTAGGGGTGTAGATCAGTGCTAGAATGCATACATAAGGCCATGGGTTCCATCCTCCGTATCCATAGATAAAAATAAAAACAAAAAATAAGTTGATAATAGCTTAGTAGTAGAGTCCTTGCCTAGCATGTACATGGTCTTGCTTCTATCTTCAGCCCTCCTCAAAGGGCAGAGACAGAGACAGATAGAGACACAGGGAGAGACAGATAAAAAGGAGGAGAGTTGGTGAAATTATTTTATTTAACCCAAACATACACAAAATATTGTTACTTTAACAAATCAATACAAAATTTATTAGTGACATATTTTACACTATTTTGTTCACACTGACTTTGAAGTCTGTGTATTTTCAAATCAGACCAGGCACATTTCAAGTGCTTAATAGCTATATATGGCTAATGCCTACCATATTGGTCAGCACAAGTCTAGATGGCTAGGAAATACAACTCAAACTCCTCTCTTCAATAAATTGTTGAATTACTGGGTTAAGATTCATCCTTTAATACCATTGCTCTGTCAAACTAGTCTTAAAGGTATTTTTGCCAAAGAAATAATAAGAGCTTCAAACTCAAATCTTTTTCCTGAAATAATTAATTTTCACGGTGATTTTATCTCTGAGCAGAGCTCCAGTTATCTTTCTGTAATATGTAAAGACTAAGCCTTTACTTCTCTCATTGCAGAGACTTGGGTTTGGGGAAAAGGGAAGTATTTCATTGTCCCATTAATTTTACAAATATAAGCTCAGTATAGGGTCTAATGAGAAAGGTATCATTAGAGATACTGAATTGTGGAGCTAGTAGGAAGTGCCCAGGTAAGATTATTTGGAGAAACAGATTAATGACATAACCACAGACCCAGATTTACTTTGTGGCAGAAGTGAATTTTTCTGGCTTCAAAACAATAAGGGCTCTTTTACTGTCACTTGCAAAGTGAGCTCCCCATTTCAACAGCAGTACCCCCATTCCTGCCTCAGGGTACTTTAGTCTCAGACCCTCCCAGAAGTACTGATCCAGAATCTGCACTTCTAACAGAACCCTCCAGTTAATTATGGATGGTAAAGTTTGAGAAACTCTTCACCTTGTGACTTTGGAGATAGGAATGATTGTTCTGTGTCACATAAGATCCTCTGGTTTTCTGACCTTCTGGTGGTTTTATTGGTTTTGTTGTGCTATTCCATGTCACCTCCCTTGGGGAGAACAGATTTTGCAGAGCCTTCAAGTTTTTATTACTTTGATCAGATCAACACCTAGTTTGAATGGGTTCTTTCACCTTGATCTAAACAGTGTTCCTGCTTCTTATAGTTCAAACCCGTATGTTTGGTACAAAGGTCGGTTTAATTTCCATTTGCAATAAAAAACATTCGATTCTGAAAATCCATGCTGGCTATATATGAAGAAAAAGATTTGCTAACCAGAGAGAGATACTTAGTCACCTGCAAATTGCAAAAAATAGTCTTATGAACTTGTGTTTCTTGGCTTTTGTCAGCTGGTCTTCAATTCACGCTGGAAGGAACTAACTGTATGATGCAGCCTGAGCTCAAGAATCTGGTCCTGATTGCCTGGCTGTGAATCCTTGCTTTTCCACTTAGCAGCTGTGTGAAGAAGACCGTCACTTATCTCTCTGTGCCTCATTTTCTTCTTCTGTAAAATGAGAATTGCAAAAAAATATATCTGCTTTTAAGATTGCTGTGAGGGTTACATGAGTTATTGCCTAGAAAGTGCTTAGTGCCTTTCTCATGTCACAGAATGTTAGAGCAGGAACTGGAACTTGGAGAGGGCTTTCTACCTCCTCATTTCTCAGATGAGGAGGATGAAGCCAGGTAAACAAATATCAACTGAGACCACACAGCACTCAGGCCTTCTGATTTTCTGTCTGACAAGGCTTTCCCTACCTCATGCCCTGAGTAAGCACAGTCCAAGGAAGATGGGTCAAACCAATTAACCCCAAAATGTGTTTGCTTTCATAATTTCATTGCTATCGATCTTTTCAGTGATTAATGTTTAAGAACCATGTTCTGAATCATATACTCATGAAAATTTTTATAATGTTTATATTTAAGGTGCAGGGTGGGAAGCATATAAAGATAAAACTGAGATTTTTTATTCCCGTACTAGCATTTCCATTAAAATTGCAGAATAGCTAGCCAACATGTAAAGACTATAAAATAATTCTGCACTGTATTTTCAACTCAGATTTGATACTATTTAAATTTGCTCCCACTAGAGAGAATAAGTATTTCAGCTTCCCAGAACTATTAGACATTTCTATTTCATTAATGGTATGGTATATAAATATGAATTCCATTGTCTAAACTGGATAATACATAATTATTTGAGCATGTCCTTTTGGTTGATCAACACTTGGAAAAGCTATCAAGCACTAAACTTTACCTAAATTAATGAAATTTTTCTCACTATGTGTGAACATTATTTTCAATAAATATACAGGTATGTAGATAATCTTGCCTACTTCCTGGTTTCAAAACATAAAATAACTATATTTTGCATCATGGTAGTCATTGCCTCTAGTACTGACAGCATCTTCTCTATCACCATTTTATTTCTAATCCTGTATATGTTATGATCCCTCACAGAACACTCAGGCCAATAAAGTGAGAGGATTTATATGAAATGCATGCATATGCAATTACCTTAGGTCAAAATGATAACGGAATTCATAAATTACATCAGATTTATGACAAAGTTAGAGATCTCCCAATGTACCTGCCAAGGTGTTTGACTTAGTGGTACCACTCAAAGGTAAGTACAGCCTAGGAGCCTAGACTCCTGGGGCCATGAAATATTCTAACAACTGTCTTAGCCCATGTAAAAGGAAGCTGCATTCCAGGTCAGTTGATCTCATAAAAGTCAATTAGAGAAAGTAATCATTTCAAGTAAGCCATATATATATATATATATATATATATATATATAATTAATTTTATAATTGTTAGGCCCAATGCCCTTCTTTTATGGGTTTGCTCAATGTGGGTGATGTATTTTTTGTCTGCACCTCATCCCTAATGCCTTGTCACAGTTTTCCTGTTTGTTTTCTTTAATGTGGAACTGAGACAGTAAGAACTCATGTGGAGCAGAGTGCAGCTAAGTACAAAAAATTGTACCATTAGATGACTTCTTTCCCTAATCTTTTAGTTGTCATGTCTATTCAGAGTTTGAGAACCTTTTTTGTTGCTGCTGTTAGCTAATTGCCTTTAAGGGAGTCTTTCCAAAATATTCAGCTAGAGAAACTCTTTCTTTACACTACAATATTTTATTCATTTATGTAAATTTTTTTATCACAACCAACATAAACAGGTCTGGAAACAAGCATATGGAATTCATGGTGAGCCCGAAAGGCAGCAGCAGAAGGAAACTGTATATTGGCAAGTAACTTCCTAAATGAGAGATCAGTGCTCCTCTGGCAGTCAGTGTGTTTTGTTTGTTTTCGAGCATCAGATGAATCTTGGTCTGACGACTGGAGTATGATGTAAGAAAGATTCTGGTATAGCATTTATTTCTGAGTACTTAGCCTATGAAATACTTAACTCTATTCTTAATTTCTGGTCTATTATTACATTTAAAATCCGACTCTTCTGAAGAATTCACTTCACCATTCATTTAGTCCAGGTGTTATGGCTTGTATCTAGATGTTCCCCAAAGCTTCATTTGGTCATAGGTGGGGCTTTCTGGAGGTGGCTAGAGTGTGTAATGCTAGGATCAAGGATGTGAAACAGAGGTTGATTAATGGTGCAATGCTAAGATTAAGGGTGTTCCACCCTGAGTGTGAGTGCTACCTGCCCTAAGGGTAGGTATCCTGATAGATTATAAGGGACAGAAACAGTGTTGCTGCTTGCTGCTTGTCAGTTTCTGCTTACTCCTTTTGCTGCCTTCTGCCTGCCATGAACTGTTTCTCCTCTGTGATGCCCCTCTGCCATGTGCCACCCTGCCTTGCAGCCAGCCAGTTATGGTCTGAAACCTCTACAACTGTGAGCCAAAATAAACTTTTCCTCCTTTAACTTTGGGTGTCAGGTACTTTGTCTCAGCAGGGAGAACAATAACTGAGATACCAGGAAAAGGGACTAACTTTCATCTTAATGGATGCTACATGGAGGACCAACTTTCACATAGAAGAAAATTCCTGATATTGAGCAAACCATTTTATCTTCCTTATGCTACTTCTCAAAAATGGTCTTGGATTTTTTTTTTTTAAGTTGGTATTTTAAGAGTCAAGGAAACTCTAGGTGAAACCTAAGTTTCTTGAAGTTTTAAGTCAATACAAAATATGTTCTAGTTTTAGAACTTTGAAAACAGGATCATACTTCTCTCAAAGATGAAGGCATTAAGAAGACGTCTCTGCAGATCGATTTGTACCTTCTTCAGCTGCCCCTATCTA